ATTAAAATACAATTAAAATACAATTAAAATACAATTAAAATGTTTTTATATATGTTTTTATAATTTTGATTGAATGTGTCTGTTATTTTTGATGACTAGTATAATAATAGAGAAACATGGTTTTTATCTGTAAGTAGCGGAAAATTGCTAGGCGCAGATAAGAAACCTTTAGCAAAGACTTGTTCTTTTGACGGAGTTTGTAACAGTCTTTTTATTTCTAGCCTGAGAGAATAGACCCCCCTGATCCCTCAAAACCTGATTATGATATCCGTGCAGATGTTTGGAGCCTGGGCATCTCTCTGGTAAGTGAGACTCATTTCTCCTTTTTAAGGTCCTTGCAGGCAATCCGCATGGGACTCTATGAAGCTTTCTGTGTGGCCTGTGTGGATGCCCAAGCTTGTTTTAAGCTTAAGGAAATGTCATTTCCTCTAATGATGTATTTCATGGGTACAGTGGTGCCTTGCAAGATGATGTTAATTCGCTCTGCGAAATACGCTGTCTTGCGAAAACATTGTCTTGTGAAACGCAGTTCCCCATTGGAATGCATTGAAATCTATTTAATGCGTTCCAATGGAAAAATCGTTGTCTTGCAAAAATTGTCCATAGAAAACATCGTCTTGCGAAGTGCAACAGCGATTGCAAAAACCAATCGTCTTGCGAGGCAATCATCTTGTGAGGCACCACTGTATTCTGGTGTGAGATTCCTAAGCAGCCTTTCATATATACAGTATTCATTATATTATGGACATGCCAGCAAGTTTTAAGGTTTTTATTTTTCTAAAAGAACTTCAGCTGTATTTCAGTTACTTGAAATAAGCTGAATTCTACAGAATCTTGTGTCCCACTTTTACTTGGGCTATTGAGACTGGAAAATTGAATTGACATTTCAGTTTCTTTGTTGCATAGAAACATGTCCTATCAGTAATTTGTTATGCTTTCTCCATTTTGATCTTTGAGGCAGAGACTACCTTGTTTTTTGTTTTTTCACCCTAATATTCTCAGAAAGAGATGGGATGATGGTGTGGTTTTGGGGGGCATACTGGTGATAGTTTTCTAGGGCTTCATTTTGAATTTTTGGAAAGCAGAGTATAGAATACTCTAGAAATACAGTTAACTTGCAGAGTACTTTCTGTCCATGCTTACTTGGAAGCAATTCTCATAATGTTCAATGGAACTTATGTATATGTAAGGGAAAACCATCAAATATTCATGGCAAAATATAATTGAGAAAAACTGTGCACATAAAGACAGTGGTAACACTGTTCTCCACCAGGCTGTCCTTCAAATGACCAGTTATGTGCCCAGTTATGTGCCTAGTTGCCAATTGAATAGGAATCACATTTTGACTGAGTGGGAATAGGTTTTTGACCTCAGTATCCACATTTTTGGAGAACTCTAACCACAATTGGTACTACAAAATATTCTTTTCCTTGTTAACCTCACAAGTCCAGTGAAATTAGAGAAGACTTCATAACAATATTAAGAAAATTACATTACTATACCCTGTTTCCCCGAAAATAAGACCTTTCCTGAAAATAAGCCCTAGTATGATTTTTCAGGTTGCTTATAATATGAGCCCTACCTCCAAAATAAGCCCCAGTTAAGTGAAACCCCATCCTCCACCATTGTGCAGCAACTCGAAGATGACATGACTGTATTTGAATAAATATAGATCGTTGTAGATTTTTTAAAAATGCCCTGAAAATAAGCCCAAATGTGTTTTTTGGAGCAAAAATAATATAATACCCTGTCTTATTTTGGAGGAAACATGGTATTTATTTTATTTATTTATTAATTAGATTTATATACCGCCCATCTAGAATGTGTCTACTCTGGGCGGTTTACATATATCATAAAAATAAACTAAAGTAAAATCCAGATTAATCACAGAGTCCAAGTTGGGAAAAGAAGAAGAAAAAGAAAGAAAGAGAAAAAAGAAAAGGGGAGATAGGCTAGGTAATGGCTGTAGGGAAGGCCTGCCTGTATGTCTTCAAGTTAGTCTTGGGAGCCAGGCAGATTTCTACAGGTAGATTGTTCCAGAGATGAGGGGCCACTGCCGAGAAGCCCTGATTGCTAGTTTTTTCCCACCGGACCTCTCTCGGTTAGGCATTAAGAGAGGTATTAATAGAGATGCTGTTAATTAATTCTTGTCAGGCAAATCTCATTTTTTACACTTGATCTTTGTGTTTTTTCCCACCCCAAATGCAGGTTGAACTGGCTACAGGTCAGTTTCCTTACAAGAACTGCAAAACAGATTTTGAGGTCCTCACCAAGGTGTTGCAGGAAGATCCGCCCCTTCTCCCAAACAACATGGGATTTTCTGTTGATTTCCAGTCATTTGTGAAAGACTGGTAAGTTAACTCAAATACAGGCTGCAGAGGGTATTTAGGATTGGGAATCAGTAGTCTCTTTCATTGGCATATATGTATTTATTTTATTGTGGAAACTCCTTGGGGTAGTTCCATCTTTTAAGGCAGCCTAAAAGTAATGCTGCACTGCAAGGAGAACATACCTATCAATTCTAAAGGAAATCAACCCTGAGTGCTCACTGGAAGGACAGATCCTGAAGCTGAGGCTCCAATACGTTGGCCATCTCATGAGGAGAGAAGGCTCCCTGGAAAAGACCCTAATGTTGGGAAAGTGTGAGGGCAAGAGGAGAAGGGGACGACAGAGGATGAGATGGTTGGACAGTGTCATCGAAGCGACCAACATGAATTTGACACAACTCGGGGAGGCAGTGGAAGATAGGAGGGCCTGGCGTGCTCTGGTCCATGGGGTCACGAAGAGTCAGACACGACTAAATGACTAGACGACGATGAAAAGTAATGCTAAATACTTAGTCTGCGAACTCCATAGTTCCTAAAGTCCTGCTGGTCCCTCTATGTTCCTGCAAAGCTCTTGTGTTCCGATACAGTACTTGCTCAGACTTCAATTCTGACACAGCTCTGTCTCCATTGCAGTTAATTCTATACAACAGCTTTAGAGCTGTTCTCCTTGTTCAGACTAGTGACACACTTCTACAAAAGAATATGCTTAGTGTATGGTGGTTATTTTATTACCATCACCACCACCCCAAAAATAATTCTCTGTGCTGTGATGGGCATACATGAACTCTGGGCCTGTCTGCATTTGTGTCCAACCCTTTCTTCTGTACACATCTATAGCTCTTGTCCTTTGCTTTTCTCTGTCTGCTGTGCCTCAGCTTCCACCTAGTTTTTTGCCTGATTAAAACAGAACAAGCAGGGAGTCCTCCATTGTCCTGAAAATGTCCTCTAAGTTGTCTGAGATATAAGTATGAGGATAGCATAGGAGACTGGTTATGTGCTTCCATCTTCCTTCATTTCAACTCACACCGACAAAGAGGCCACTGTCTGGTGGTTGGATGAATTGTGCACCTTGCTATAATGGTAGGTCCAGTTCTGAGGGTGGTCAGTTTGTGCTAGGTAACTAGAACTTATGACTCACTTGCCCCTTCTCTCAGGCAATCCATGTGCACAATAAAGTTGATGCAAGGTGTCATGGGATATTAGCCATAGTGGTGAAACCTATGTAGATTAATGTAGCAGCATGGTGAACCACATCCTCTTCTCAAGAAAGTAGGATAATCCTATATAACTATGGAGTTCTGTTTGTCATGACCCATTGTATGTCAAATGAGACTTGCCAGAGTAATAGCTCTGTAATTCCTCTTAATATATTTGCTGGGTGGAAAATGATAATTTTTAAAAAATCACTTGGATTCATGTTGTCTGAATGTGTGTTTCTGTCTTTCTAGCCTTACTAAAGATCACAGGAAGAGACCAAAGTACAACAAGCTACTTGTGAGTATTAAACACACCTCTTCACTGGGAGTATTAAACATTTCCTTGGAGCTTGGCAAAAGACAAGCTTCTTTTGCAAACTCTGAACTTTTAGAAGTGATTGTTCCAGAAAACAACTAATATGTTTTTGCACTAGTTTATGCCAACTTGTCACGGAGGTTGGAATTTATCAAATGGTGTCTTTTTTTTACCTGCAAATTGTTTCTTAAAGGAAATATTTGTTTCTCAGTATCTGTTTCAGTTTGGTTATTTTCTTCCTGTTTATACAAAATGTTTCTGTGTGTCCTTGCTCTGATTGATTGATTGATGTCCCACCTTTCTCCTTAAAAAGGACCCAAGGCAGCTCTCTCTATAGTTGCATATGGACCTTTAGAAGCTAATCTTCCTTGTGGTCTGCTCTTTTCATTTCTAGGAACACAACTTCATCAAGCGTTATGAGACACTGGAAGTGGATGTGGCATCCTGGTTCAAAGACGTCATGGCGAAGACTGAATCGCCTCGCACAAGCAGCATCCTCAGCCAGCACCACCTGCCATTCTTCACCAGGTAGCCATGCCATGTGGCTGTTGTGGCCAGGGAAGGTCCCCTCGGCAGCCAGAGCTCACATGGTGGGGCAAGAGAGAGAGAGAGAGCACCACAACAGCCACCTGTCTTCACAAGAGCAACTCTCCAATGGCGTGAATTGTTCGTGCTTCACCTGCTCTATCAACGTTGCTCATTTCGTCTTCTCCTTCAGTTTTCCAGGAAGAGATGAGGTGGTTGTCTGATCTTTTGGTGTATTCTAGAGTTATTTGCGTCTCAGGCACTAGTCAACCCAAGAATGCGAGGCTGTGGGCATGGAGGCCTTCTCCAGCCTGTGCTTGTTGTCTGTTTCAGCCGTTGGCCATCCGCCGCCAGGAGTTGCCACCAAAGGACAGTGTGCTCCCTGTCCGTCTCTGTCCACCATGACTGGAGTCTCGAGGACATGCAACAGTGACCTTTGCTCACGCACTGTGAACAGACACAAAACACACAAAAAAGGAAAAAAGAAAAGATATTTTTTTTACCGCTTATTTATTAAGTTTGGATTTCTGGTGCCGTGGGATGCCTGCTGCACCCGTTCACCAATCTCTGCGTTATTACATGTTTGTTTTTGTTTTGTTTTCATTTGTGTTTGGGGGGGTTCTATTTGCTGAGGGGACTGGGGCTGGGGTAGATGAAATCAGCTGCTGCTTTAGATTCTGAGCTTAGCTATTACCGTTGTCTTGGTTTCATTTTTTTCTTGGGGCTGGCGGGACAGGAAAGGGAAAGTCTGAAGATTATTCTCACCCAAGAGTAGCTCAGTTAAAGTGATTTTTCCATCTTCAATCCTTTTTTTATCTCAGGGGTTCCTATTCTTTTGTTTTGAGTGTGAACAAAGTTTTGTCAATGGTGTTTTATTTACCAAAGTATGTGTTTGATGCTAGGATAAATGCTTCTTCATTTTCTTGCATATTTAAGAAAAGGGAAAGCAAATTTTAAAGATAATCTTGGCATCAAGAAAGCCATTTTAAAGAAAGATTCAGCCCAAATTATATCTTACTGCTGTGGCTTAGGGATTCTTTAAACAGTTCTTTTTTCAAAAGTATCAAATGTATGCCCTTTCTGAATTTACTGGGCTAGATTCTTAACTGGTAATGGTTGTGCATTTCCAGTTGAGGAATAGACAGTTTGTTGTTTGGAAACTACCAGCTAGAATCTGCACTGTCTCTTTAGATCCTCAAATTGTGTGGATTCTTGCAGGTGGGATCTTAAACACAGGGGTCAGAACCTTCCTCCATCCTATTTGGTTTCACACTATGGCTTCTTTTCCACTAATATTTTTCGCAAGATCCACTCACTTATAATTCAAAGGTGTCTCTTAAACAGAGAGGTATTTCCAGATAGTTAGGGGCTGTGGCGTGGAAACTGGTATGTTCTTGTCCAGAACACTGATAGTGTGTGACCTTTAATTGCTATTGGTGGCCAGAATTCTTGGGGATTGAGTCCTAATTTTCTTCTTGAGTCAAGACTCCTAGTAACATCTGCAGTTCTTCAGATAATCCAGAGGCTAACATGGAACACTGAAATTCTGTGTGTTAGTCTGAAGATGAGCCTTCTGCTTTCTCTTGCTAGCAAAAGTTCGAAAATGTTGCTGTTTGCACAATATCTGGATTAGTATTATGACCTGGACAGGAAAAGACCTCTGTATAGTGACTTATTGTGCTAGTACACTTGCTCCTGGATATTATGCTGAGGACTATACTTGCATATTAAATGTATAGATGATCATTATAAACTCAATTTTATAAATCGGAACAAAATGAAAGATGTTACAAAAGCTTAAGACCTAGGCCAAGTATTGCATAGGAAAGGAGCTGCAATTGTGGCCCTTGATGAGCCAAAGATATCTGTGTGGTACCAATTGCTAAGTCAACAAAATATCCCATCTAAACATTTGTCTAGGTTCTGACTGTTTCCATGAGGTGCTTTTGTAATTTATAGGAACAAGGGAGTCAGCGTTAGGCAGCAACAATGATAGACATAGTAGAGAGGAAGAACTAGGTGTCATATAATCCAGGGTTAGGTGCAAGTGTCAAAAAGGCAGGTCAGGGCAGAGCTTTCAGAATGAGAAGATGGTGTTTTGTCTTAATGGAAAATAGGTGGGTAACATGGGTGGATGCTGTGATTGTAGTGGTTTTGAAAATGGGTTGTTGCTCCTGAAGGATGCTGATGCTGATGAGGTAGAGTGTTGTTTATGCAAAATAGAGGTCTTCAGTCCAGATGACTGGGTTGTGGTTATGGCATAGTTTAGAGTTCCATTTCTGTGCTGATCTCATCTCTGGCTATTAACGTGAATCATAATTTTTAAGGAGATGAGAAATGTCTATTTATCACACACACATATATTGTAAGGGAAGTGGGTTTGTGTTAAGAAGGCAAGCACACTTTTCAGTTATATTTTATGAAGAGAGATCTGTTGTAGGAGAGAAGATGGTAAGTGGAAGGCTGATGAAAATACCGTGTTTCCCCAAAAATAAGACAAAGTCTTATATTAATTTTTGCTCTGAAAAACACATTAGGGCTTATTTTCAGGGGATGCCTGTCATCATCTTCTGGTTGCTGCACAGTGGTGGAGGGCGGAGTTTCACTTAACTAGGGCTTATTTTTGAGGTAGGGCTTATATTACGATCATCCTGAAAAATCTTATTAGGACTTATTTTCAAGTTAGGTCTTATTTTCAGGGAAACAGGGTATTAAGTGCAGAAAGCTGAGATGGAAGTGTTTTGGTTATGGTGGACAAAAAGCAGGGTTGCAACAAGATGTGAGGATACGTGCTTGGTTTTTGAAAATGGATTGGGAAAATTGTGAAGCCAGAATAAGTTGCTCCAAGCATATTCAAGAGGATAACGCTGGGGAGTGCATTGTAGCTTCAAAGATGAATTCCTCTAAGAAGAAGGTACGTTTATATACACCTTGTCTATAAACTTCATTTAGAATTGCTGGATGGGTTCTTAAAATTCCCCAGATATTAAGAATATCTGGAAGATTCTTCCAGACACATTGTAGCCTAGTTTGCATGTGCTTTTATGGTTTACTAAAGCACCGTTTTAGGTAACCAGCAGTGCATTTTGGGCCAGGCCTTCTCCCTCTGCTTGGCATGCTTATCCTCATTAGTTTCAACGAAGAAAACCAGTTCACGCAGGTAATGGCCATCTCCAAGGTGATCCACAAAGAGGCTGTTTTGAGTACCAACGTGCGTACAGGATGTTGGAAAAGGTTAAGAGAAAAGTGGTCCTTCACAAGCGTCTTCCATGCATTGATGAGAAGAGCACTGCAGGTAGCAAAATAGGAGACAGTTTCAAATACTGAAATGACAGTACAGGTGCCATAGATGCAGGTATATATTGTATGTGGAATAATGAAGGTGATGTTGAGTGGAAGAAAGACATGATTTGAGATTGAAATTCAGAGAACAGCTGAAGTCTCTGGAACAGAATTGTTAGTGGGATGGTACAAGTAGAGCTTTCCTATTTCCTGTGTGTTAGATGGAGGAGGCTTTCCTTCTCACTAACAGACCCTCACTCCCCTGTTAGCTTTTGAAACAAGAATTGCTGGGCATTTTGCTAACTGCTTGAGGAATTCATCTTGGAAGTAGATTCGTAATAAACAAATTTCAGTGATCTGGGCATATCTGTGCACGTTGTTTTGATAGGGGAGGTGAAACACCCTGGGTCAGAGAATGTTGAAGAAGGTGAAGAGCATAAAAGTATTGTTGAGTAAATTACGGGATTCCAAATCCAGGTGGAAGAAGAGCATGTGAAAGTTGAGGGCGGCAGCACTTGGCTGCATGGAGAAGGTCAGTGTTCAGCACTGAACCTTGGGATCAGAATGTGTAGGAAAGTATAAAAGGTAAAGGAAAGGGTTACAGACAGTTAATAGAAACTGTCCTCTGGGAAGCTGTGAATGGCCATGTTCTGTTAGCTTGATGTACCCTCTGCTTGGCTTTGCTAGAGTGGCTTTTGGCCATGTACACTATTAAATATCCTGCAGCAAAAGTAAGCATATTTGTTGGCAGAGAAGTGGTGATACATGATATGGTATTTGGCACTATCACCCCACTAAAGGAGCCAGCAGATCCTCACAGTGGAGCTAACAGTTAATCTGTGTAGGAATGAAATGGTTTGACTTACAGATCACAGAATGGATTTGTTAAGAGATATAGCAGGCCAGTGATGATCAACAGGTGGCCCTTGAAAGTCTTAGTCAAGTGGCAGTAGTTTGGGAGATATCTGATTATGCAGGAATGTACCTAAATAACTGAATCTCTTAGCGCTAAAACAAGGCATAGTCCCACAGATCATTACATGCTGTTGCAAATCTGAGGGTTTTTTAATTCTAAAAATTAATTTTAGTTTTTGTCCTTGTATCTTATAGCGTCTGAGAATTTGTAAGTATCTACTTTGCTGCTCTTTGAATAAATAATCTAATAAGAACTTTAAGTGGAGAGAATCATTGGCTTCTATGAATCAGTGCTTCCTATTATTTTGCTGCCAAAAGTTGTCAGTTGATTTTATCAACTGTTTTCTGGAAAATAACACTTTATGTTGATGGCTACTTATGTTTCAAACTCATGTTTGTGAGTTTGAAACCTAAGAAATCAACCCTTGATTGAAAGTTACCTAAAATGACAAATGCTAAGAATATTGGCTGTAGGTTCTCCACTTCTGCTCTAGTGCCTTGAGTCTCGAAAGTCCAGAGGCACTTCAGTAACAAAGTTGTCAAATTAATTAGCCTGCAGGGCACTGGTGATTTTGAAAAATGACTGCTAACATTTCTGCTGCATGTTAATCATAAGAGCAGTGATGGAGATACCAAGATGGTCTCTTTGTCAGTTGAGTTTGTCATCCTGTTTGTCCAACCCAGGCATTTTGCTATGATACTATTGTCTTCCAGGGAGCTAGGCTCTCTTTCAGTTGGGTACATCATTAGTACAGTCAGGAGTGAAGCATCTGCGTATTTCACAGACAAAAGGCAATGGTTTTGGAAGTACTAGAACAGAATGACAGGATGTTTATTAGGCAAATGCGGCAGGTGCCATGAGGTGACCATTCTTCATTGGAAATAATGTCTCCTAAACTGAGAATATGTCTTGTTTCATATGTAAGAAAGGAGCAGGGATAACGTAGTAGAAAATAGATTAAATGCTAAAATTACATTCTTGTCAGAGGTTCAGAACAATTTGATCCTTGCTGTGTTTTTATGTGGAAAGCTTATAGTACTTTGTTCCTTGTGTGGAGCCAGTGTTCTGTTTCCTTTTGGACTGAAGCTCCCAAATATAAAAATACTGGCCTCCCAAAAGGGACCTCCTTTTGACTTCAAGAGAAAGCAAGAATAAACTCACACAACAGGGGTGAGGGAGCCTCTTCCCTTGCAGATATTTTGGACTCCAATCCCCAAAAGCCCCAGCCAGCCTGGCCAGTGGGGGAGGGGTTGTGGGAGTTGATGTCTGAAAACACCACATGTTCTTTGCCCTTGTCTAACAAGATTGCCAAGCTTTCAAACATGGAAGAACATCCTTTTCTCAACACAAGTTTAAAATTTAGATTGCCATGTGAGGAGAACCTGGGGCGGGTTAGGTTTTCGAAAGTGTTAAAGGCTTTTTAAAATGTTCAAAAACATGGGATGTCTTTTCAAGAAAGATTGAGGGGGAAAATGCAGTTTTATTGCATTTTTAGAGTTATTTTTTTAATGTATTAATTTAGAACAAATCTTTGTTAATATTATTTTTAATCTGGGTGACTGAATGTTTACAATCCCTGCCTGACATCTGCTCTTAAAGTGTGTGGGGCTATTGGGCTTGGGTGGGGCACATGTGTGCAGCGTGTGGTGCATGCAGTTCAAACGGGGGATTTTAAAACAAACAAAACTGTAAAAAAATCATGCCAAAGGTAAGGCAGAGACTAGCTGGGTAGATGGCTATATTCTAGGTGTTAGCATTTCACTATATTCTCTATATATCATATATTATAAATTTGCATGTTAAAGTAAATAGAAATAACTTCTATCTTATATGAAAGGGACTTTTAACTTTGGATTACATGTAAATTTGGTCACTTATCTTGATTCAGGATCTCCTGAACACCTTAAGCTTTAGGGGCTGCTTGATTTTGGGTTTTTTATTTTGTTTTGGGGTAGCCACCAAACTTTTGCTTTGCTGCCTTTTCATTAAAAGGGGCATGATTTATCCAAAGTTTCTTGAGAGCAGAGCAATTAAACAGAAACAGCAAAATTGACTTGAGTCGCAGCCAGCATGAAACGAGTGGCCAATTTTGCATCTCTTCAAATGCTGTTATCTTCCATTGCTGGCCCATTATACAGGAATCTACACGATGGAGACTCTTGAGGGCTTTGTACCACTGAAGTCTACCTGGACAATGCTATCCTCTTGTCATCAGGATAAGCAGTCAGCAGGTTTCAGTTTAGTTTTGTTTGTTCAACCAATCTTCGTCTCGTCAGTTCCAAGTAATCAAAGCTACAATTGTGCACATTTATTTATTGTCCACAGAAATCTCTGTGTGTGTGTGTGTGTGTGTTAATTTATTTTTTAAAACTTCCCTTTTTTGACTTCTTACAGAGAGTGTATTTTTCATTGATAGTATTTACTGAGGTAACTGTCGAAGAGGAGATAAGAAGCATAGCAAATAGACTGAATTTCAGGTGGCAGGCTTCAGGCTGCTGTTCAAATAAGTCCCAACACTTGATGCTTTTCAAAGAGACTTGCACTACTCTGTAGATGGCCACAAGAAGTCCTCAACACAAGTATCTTTGAAATCTCCAATGTCCCATCTTCATGCTATCCAAGAGACCAGAAGAAAGTAGATCATAAACAAGGGAAGAAGAATAGAACATTTACCAGCAAATTTATTGCTTCTCCATCGGGTATTGAGACTAATTCCCACAAAATGCTCATAATATCGGGAGGAGGATGGAGACTGGGAATTAGGGTAGTCATGGTTATGCAAATTGACCAAATTTTATGTTACAGAATCATGAAATTTGCTTTAAATCCATAAGCTAACAGAATGTTGATTATTTTTGCTTGTCTACCAGTTCCAGACATCTAGTGTAGAACACTGTACCTGGCAATCAACAGAGCTTTTAAAGGTGAAAAAATCTAGCCCAAATCAAACTGTTTTAGATGTTTCTCTTTCTGACACATGACTTTCCAGAGTTTAAATCAGAAACGTGACGATGTCCACAAAATTAGTCATTCATTGGTCAGTAGGTGATGTTGGGATAAGAGATAGCAAACATCAATATATTCTCCCAGACAGATATCATTAGTCTCTTGTTGCCTTTATCAGTGATTAGTAGATTTCACTTGGCATAACAGAAACAGTACATGACTTCATGATTATAACACAGGAATTAGTTGAAATATTTCCACAACAGGAACTGATGGTGGTGGGATACAGGGGTCTAGGGTTTCATTTGTAGTGTCTTGTTGTCAGGATAATTAGTTCCCAGTACTTGTGTATTCACAATTCATACTTGAACAGATGGATTATATGTTACTCCAGAACCAAT